TCAGGAGGAAACACCTGGCTCCTGGCTTCGGATTGGCGCAGTGCACCAGCCATAACGCACCGGCCATAGTGGCCACTTGGGGGGTGAACCAATGGAAAAAGGGAAACCTTTCTCTCTCTCTCTCTCTCTCTCACTGTCTAACTCTGCCTGTCAAAAAAAAAAAAAAAAAAAGAAAGAAAGAAAAGGTAGTTTCTCCTTTGCAAATAGTAAGCTGTCAATGGAAGAAATTGAGGGTTTTTTTTTGTTTTTGTTTTTCCCCAAAGAAACCGTTTATTTAAGAAATACAGATTTCATAAGTACAACTTTAGGAATATAGTGATTCTTCCCACTGTACCCACCCTCGCACCCCTCATCCTCCTCCCTCTCCCATTCTCGGTCCCATTCTCCATTAAGATTTATTTTCAGGCTGGCGCTGGGGCTCAATAGGCTAATCATCTGCCTGTGGTGCCGGCACCCCGGGTTCTAGTCCCGGTTGGGGCGCCGGATTCTGTACCGGTTGCTCCTTTTCAGTCCAGCTCTCTGCTATGGCCCGGGAGTGCAGTGGACGATGGCCCAAGTGCTTGGGCCCTGCACCTGCATGGGAGACCAGGAGAAGCACCTGGCTCCTGGCTTTGGATCAGTGCGGTGCGCCAGCCGCAGTGGCCATTGGGGGGTGAACCAACGGAAAAGGAAGACCTTTCTCTCTCTCTCTCTCTCACTGTCCACTCTGCCTGTCCAAAAAAAAAAAAAAATTCATTTTCAGCTAACTTTATACACAGAAGACCATCTCTATACTTAAAGTAATGATTTCAGCGATTTGTGTGCACATGCGTATACACACACACACACACACAAACTGAGAAGTAGTTTTACGGTTAATGCTCATAATACAACTCATTGAGGACAGAGGTCCTGCATGGGAAGTAAGTGCACAGTGACTCCTCTTTTTAATTTAACAATTAACACTCTTACATATGACATCAGTGATCACCTGAGGCTTTTGACATGAGCTCTGGAAACCTCTTGAATGCATAATCTCCATTAGTATTTAGACAAGGCCATAAGCAAAATGGAAGTTCTCTCCTCCCTTTAGAGAAAAATACATCTTTGATGGCCACCTCTTTCCACTGGAGTCTCACTCACAGAGATCCTTCATGTAGGTCATTTCTTGCCATTCTTTCTTGGCTTTCCATGCCTGAGGTGCTGTCATGGGCTTTTCAGCCAGACCAGAATGCCTTAAGGGCTGATTCTGAGGTCAGAGTGCTATTTAAAGTGATTGTCATTCTATGAGTCTGCTGTGTGGACTGCTTCCCATGCTGGAACATTCTCTTCTTTTTAATTCTATCTATTATTGCCGGACACTTGATCTTATTTATATGATCCCTTTAACACTTAATCCTATCCATATGATCACTTTAACTCTTAGATGGCATTTTGGATTTGGGGTCCCATGGCAAGTTTTTAAACTGTACCCTTAGAAGTAAGTCTGTAGGAAAGTATGCAGAACTGCACAGCTTTACAGTCACAACTTCTCCTCCCTCTCTCATTTCTACTCTTATTTTCTACTGAGATCAACTTCAGTTGTCTGTATACATATATGATTAACTATGTCAAGTAAAGAGTTCAACAAATAGTGTGAAGAAGGAAAAACTGTTTGACAGTTGAGACAAGGGGCTATCAGAGTACCTGATAATAAATGCACAATCTGTGGTAATTGCTGTTGGTGATGATGGTGTCACACCCCCTCTCCCTCAGAAGTCTCAAGATGGGGACTGGCGTTCTGGTACAGTGAGTTAAACACTGTGACACTGGCATCCCAGAAGTGCCAGGTTGAGGCCTGGCTGCTCTGCCGTTGATCTAGCTTTAGGCAGTGAAGGATGGCCCAAGTGCTTGGGCCCCTGCCCCTTGTGGGAGACCTGCATAGAGCTTCTGCCTCTTGTCTTCAGCCTGGCGGCCATTTTGGGGGGTGGACCAGCAGATGCAGGATCTCTCATTTTTTTGTCTCTGTCACTTTGCTTTTCAAATAAACAATCTAAAAGAAAGAGATCTTAAGCTATTGTGCAAAGTGAACTACTCATTATTAGCTGTAACAAATGAAAACAGGTGGGGCCAGTGTTGTGGCATAGAGGGTAAAGCTACTGCTTGTGATGCTGCATCCCCTATGGGTGCTGGTTCGGGTCCTGGCTGCTTCCCTGCTAATGGCCTGGGAAAAGCAGCAGAGGATGACCCAAGCGCTTGGGCCGCTGCTAAGACCCAGCGGAAACTCCTGGCTCCTGGCTGGCCCAGCACTGGCTGATATGACCATCTGGGGAGTGAACCAGCAGATGGACGCTCTCTCTCTGTCTCTCCCTCTCTCTCTGTGACTCTGGCTTTCAAATAAATAATAAAGAAACAAAACAAAATAAGCAGTCAGCCCAGTAGTGGGATTATAAGTAGGTGGGGAAGCTACCTGAGTTCCTGCAGTCCATAGCTGATGCAGGCCCTGCAGTGACAGAATTGAACCAAAGTCCCTGCCAGCTTTGCAGCGAGGTCTTGCTCACATGAAAGAGGAGGAAAGGGAAAGTGTGCTCCAGAGAGATGATGGCAGTGTGCTGGCGTCAGTGAGTGTGTGCAGAGATGGCAGTGTGCTGACGTCTGTAAGTGTGCGCAGAGAGATGGCAGTGTGCTGACGTCAGTGAGTGTGCGCAGAGAGATGGTGGCAGTGTGCTGACGTCTGTGAGTGTGCGCAGAGAGATGGCAGTGTGCTGCTGTCTGTGAGTGTGCACAGAGAGATGGCAGTGTGCTGCTGTCTGTGAGTGTGCACAGAGAGATGGAGGCAGTGTGCCGCTGACGTCTGTGGGTGTGCGCAGAGAGATGGCAGTGTGCTGACGTCTGTGAGTGTGCGCAGAGAGATGGCAGTGTGCTGACGTCTGTGAGTGCGCAGAGAGATGGCAGTGTGCTGACGTCTGTGAGTGTGCGCAGAGAGATGGCAGTGTGCTGACGTCTGTGAGTGTGCGCAGAGAGATGGAGTGTGGTGACGTCTGTGAGTGTGCACAGAGAGATGGCAGTGTGCTGACGTCAGTGAGTGTGCGCAGAGAGATGGCAGTGTGCTGACGTCTGTGAGTGTGCGCAGAGAGATGGCAGTGTGCTGGCGTCTGTGAGTGTGCGCAGAGAGATGGAGTGTGCTGGCGTCAGTGAGTGTGCGCAGAGAGATGGCAGTGTGCTGACGTCTGTGAGTGTGCAGAGATGGCAGTGTGCTGGCGTCTGTGAGTGTGCAGAGATGGCAGTGTGCTGGCGTCTGTGAGTGTGCGCAGAGAGATGGAGTGTGCTGACGTCTGTGAGTGTGCGCAGAGAGATGGCAGTGTGCTGACGTCTGTGAGTGTGCACAGAGAGATGGAGGCAGTGTGCCGCTGACGTCTGTGAGTGTGCGCAGAGAGGTGGCAGTGTGCTGGCGTCAGTGAGTGTGCACAGAGAGATGGCAGTGTGCTGGCGTCTGTGAGTGTGCGCAGAGAGATGGCGGCAGTGTGCTGGCGTCTGTGAGTGTGCGCAGAGAGATGGAGTGTGCTGGCGTCAGTGAGTGTGCGCAGAGAGATGGCAGTGTACTGGCGTCTGTGAGTGTGCGCAGAGAGATGGCAGTGTGCCGCTGACGTCTGTGAGTGTGCGCAGAGAGGTGGCAGTGTGCTGGCGTCAGTGAGTGTGCGCAGAGAGATGGCGGCAGTGTGCTGGCGTCTGTGAGTGTGCGCAGAGAGATGGAGTGTGCTGGCGTCAGTGAGTGTGCGCAGAGAGATGGCAGTGTGCTGCTGTCTGTGAGTGTGCGCAGAGAGATGGCAGTGTGCTGCTGTCTGTGAGTGTGCACAGAGAGATGGCAGTGTGCTGCTGTCTGTGAGTGTGCACAGAGAGATGGCAGTGTGCTGGCGTCAGTGAGTGTGCGCAGAGAGATGGTGGCAGTGTGCTGACGTCCGTGAGTGTGTGCAGAGAGATGGAGTGTGCTGACGTCTGTGAGTGTGTGCAGAGAGATGGCGGCAGTGTGCTGCTGTCTGTGAGTGTGCACAGAGAGATGGCAGTGTGCTGGCGTCAGTGAGTGTGCGCAGAGAGATGGAGTGTGCTGACGTCTGTGAGTGTGTGCAGAGAGATGGTGGCAGTGTGCTGCTGACGTCTGAGTGTGCGCAGAGAGATGGAGTGTGCTGACGTCTGTGAGTGTGCGCAGAGAGATGGTGGCAGTGTGCTGCTGACGTCTGAGTGTGCGCAGAGAGATGGAGTGTGCTGACGTCCGTGAGTGTGCGCAGAGAGATGGCGGCAGTGTGCTGACGTCTGTGAGTGTGCGCAGAGAGATGGAGTGTGCTGTCTGTGAGTGTGCGCAGAGAGATGGCGGCAGTGTGCTGCTGACGTCTGAGTGTGCGCAGAGAGATGGAGTGTGCTGACGTCTGTGAGTGTGCGCAGAGAGATGGCGGCAGTGTGCTGCTGACGTCTGAGTGTGCGCAGAGAGATGGAGTGTGCTGACGTCTGTGAGTGTGCGCAGAGAGATGGAGTGTGCTGCTGTCTGTGAGTGTGCACAGAGAGATGGCGGCAGTGTGCTGCTGACGTCTGAGTGTGCGCAGAGAGATGGCAGTGTGCTGACGTCTGTGAGTGTGCACAGAGAGATGGCAGTGTGCTGACGTCTGTGAATGTCTCCAAATGGAAAGCGGTGGCTGTGTCAGGAAAGGAATAGAGAGAGATAACTGGCTCCACTGGACCTTGTTGTGTGAAGAATTGTTTCCATGTTAGCTTAGTTTCAGACCTGCTGAAAGAGTTATGGTGTGGCCATGGTAGGTGTACGATAGTATAGTTTGATGTTCCATCAACTGCCAAAGACAAAGAAGAAATCAAGATGGTGTCATCTCAAGCAACCATGTACCTCTTACCTCAAACCTTGAAGAGCAGCATTTGCATAGTGGTACAGAAAAATGACCAGAAAAATGAGCAATGAAGTGTTTGTTAAATAGAAAAGGAACGGCGAGCCCGTTGGTGTGTCTGACGTTTCCATCTTCTTCTCTCCTCCCCAGTGTGTTCATTACCAACAGAGGTAAGTGATTTTGTTCTCGTTTTTTAACCTATGCATTTGAAGTCACCGTTAATTTTAAAGCTAGGTTAAGGCCGGCGCCGCGGCTCACTAGGCTAATCCTCCACCTAGCGGCGCCGGCACACCGGGTTCTACTCCCGGTCGGGGCGCCGGATTCTGTCCCGGTTGCCCCTCTTCCAGGCCAGCCGTCTGCTGTGGCCAGGGAGTGCAGTGGAGGATGGCCCAGGTGCTTGGGCCCTGCACCCCATGGGAGACCAGGAAAAGCACCTGGCTCCTGGCTCCTGCCATCGGATCGGCGCGGTGCGCCGGCCGCAGCGCGCCGGCCGCGGCGGCCATTGGGGGGTGAACCAACGGCAAAGGAAGACCTTTCTCTCTGTCTCTCTCTCACTGTCCACTCTGCCTGTCAAAAAAATTAAAAAAAAAAAAATTAAAAAAAAGCTAGGTTAAGAGCTTATGAAGCATTTTCTATTATTAGATTTAAAGTTTCAACTTTCTATAATTTTAGAATATTTTTCTGGTCTTAAAATTTCATTCCTTTGGCCAGCGCCGCGGCTCACTAGGCTAATCCTCCGCTTTGCGGCACTGGCACACTGGGTTCTAGTCCCGGTCGGGGCGCCGGAGTCTGTCCCGGTTGCCCCTCTTCCAGGCCAGCTCTCTGCTGTAGCCAGGGAGTGCAGTGGAAGATGGCCCAGGTGCTTGGGCCCTGCACCCCATGGGAGACCAGGAGAAGTACCTGGCTCCTGCCATCGGATCAGCGCGGTGTGCCAGCCACAGTGCGCCGGCCGCGGCGGCCATTGGAGGGTGAACCAACGGCAAAGGAAGACCTTTCTCTCTGTCTCTCTCACTGTCCACTCTGCCTGTCCAAAAAAAAAAAAATTTTTTTTTCATTCCTTTGGACTTTGAGTTACACATGAACATCTTTTTCATTTGGCTGCACATTTTGGATTTTTGTATGAAACTTGTGAATAGTCAGCTAAGAAGACAAGAGTGACCTTAAAGCCAGAATTCAGATGTCCAGGTAGAGGAAAGAAATAGCAGTATAAATTACGTGTAAGACTTGGGAAGTCAGTCTTACGTACCTAAAGCGAGAACGAGATGTTCTGTTTTTAATTTTTCCTCGTTTTCTTGTGTCTGATGGAGAAGCCAGTTGCGCAGGGAAGAGGTGCCTAACCCTTCCTACCTTGTACTTACCTTGGGGGTTTCCTGGTTGGGTACAGACTGCCTGTACGTAAGGAGGCAGGTGGCTGTGGTTGGTTTTATTGTTCTTTATATAGCAAGTATAAAAAATGATTTTTAATTAAATATGTTGGTTGCAAATGCTCTGTTGTGACTGACTTTGTTCTTTGTCCCTCCCAGTACTGTGAATATATGCCGGATGTTGCTAAATGCAGACAGTGGTTAGAGAAGAATTTTCCAAATGAATTTGCAAAACTTACCGTAGGTATGGACATTTTCTTTCTCCTGGAACTTGTGTACCGGAAGCAGATGTGTCGATGGCGTGATTCACAGATTTGAAAGTCCTCCTTGGGTAGGGTAGGGTGTTAGAGAATGGCAGTAATTATAAAACTGCAAGTTCTCTCAGACCAGATGGGACTAAGACTCAGCTTTCTATGTGAAGTGAATGGCTCAGGGACACGTGTGTGTCCCGCCTCTCTGTGCGCACACTGCGCGCCACACACTCTGGTTCTGAGGATAAAGCAGTCAGAGCCCCTCCTGCTCTCAGGGGAGGTGCTTCCTAGAGGAGGCCACAGGTGAGCACAGCAGTGTGCAGGGAGTGCTGACAGGAACAAAGAGAAGATTTATTGGGAGGGAATTTGAAACGTCAGCATTCTAGGCAGCAAACACAGACAGTGTAAAGGCCTTGAGGCAGACTCACTCTGGTGCGATCAGGAAGCAGCAAAGACACCTCTGTGTCTGGAGCTAATCAAAGCAGGAGAGTTGGATATGGAATCAGGCAGTGGAGGACCGAAAAAAATTTTCTTTTTGGAGGCCGACACCGTGGTGCACTAGGTTAATCCTCCGCCTATTGCGCCGGCATCCCATATGGGTGCCGGTTCTAGTCCTGGTTGCTCTTCTTCCAGTCCAGCTCTCTGCTGTGGCCCGGGAAAGCAATGAGGATTGCCCGGGTGTTTGGGCCCCTGCTTTGGATTGGCATAGCTCTGGCCATTGTGGCCATTTGAGGAATGAACCAGTGGAAGGAAGAGCTTTCTGTCTCTCTCTCTCTCTCTCTCTCTTTCTCACTGTCTGTAACTCTGCCTGTCAAATAAATTAAAAAAAATTTTTTTTATTTTTTTCAAGGCAGAGAAATAGATCTTCTACCCTCTGGTTCACTTCCCAAATGACCAGGGCTGGGCCATCCCAAAGCCTGAAGCCCAGGAATTCCATACTGGGCTTGCATGCTTGGATCATCCTCTGCTGCCTTCCCAGGCACATGAGTAGGGAGCTGGATTGGAAGCGGAGAGCCAGAACTCAAACTGGCGCTCTCATACGGGGTGCTGGTCTCAAGTGATGGCTACACCTGCTGTACCACAGAGTAGGCCCCAAGGACCACATCTTGTGAGGAGGACCTTGTAGGTCAAGTCTTAACTTTGACTTTGAGTGAGCTGAGGCTCTACTAGAGGGATTTGAGCAGAGAAAGATGACTTCTGGCTCGTGTTCCAACAGCGTCACTTTGCTGTGCTGAGAATGGACTGAGGGGAGCCGGTTCTGTGGCATAGCAGTGAAGCCGCTGCCTGTGATGCTGGCATCCCACGTGGGCACTGGTTCAAGTTTCACATGGTGAGGGTGGGCATTGCGGTACAGCAGGTTAACCCCGTCTCATGCTGGAACGCCTGGGCCCAGCTCAGGCCTCCGCCTCTGACCCAGCTTTCTGCTGATGTACACCCTGGGAGGCAGCAGGTGGGATGGCTCAGGCATTTGGGTCCCTGCGACCCATGTGGGGACCTGGATGGAGCTCCTGGCTTTGGCCTGGCCCAGTTGTGACTATGGCAGGCATTTGGAAGTGAACCAGAGGATGGAAGATCTGTCTCTTTTTCAAAATAAAAACACATTAAAACAAACAAAACACAGCTTTGTCCTCTAGATGGAATTCAGAAAAGCAAAGGTTAAGAAAAAAGTTTAGTATTAGTGTTGTATGTGCCTCTCATTTGGTTTAAAAAAAAAAAACACTGATCCTCCCATATCAGAGACATTGTTTTCTCTCTTTTCGTTACTTACGGTGACTTCAGAATGAGGTTTGAGTAGGGATCTGACAGAAATGATCATCTGCTGTGCAGTCTCCAGGCTCACTTGGTGGTTACAATGCCTTGTTATACGTGAAATCGCGCTTTCTTTAATGTAAGTGTGAAATGATGTTGATGCTTTTAAATTTCATTTTCATTTTTTTTAATTTCGTTTTTCTAGAAAATTCACCCAAACAAGAGGCAGGAATCACTGAGGGTCAAGGAACAGCAGGGGAAGAAGAGGAGAAGAAAAAACAAAAGAGAGGTAAACCCTGAATCCACGTTCTGTTTGTACACCTTCCCTCTGGTGGGAGGTAGCAGTCATTAAAAGGGCTCCCAGAGTGAGTGACAGCTGCCTGTTCCTTAGTTCCGTGTGTATCATTCAGAGGGTGAAAATCACTTCTCAGGATCGTAACTGGATGTAGTATGACTTGGGCTTTATGAGCACATTGTATGTAAGAAAACATGCTTGTTTGCCCTGGATGTATGTAAAAGCAAGCAGCTTGCTAAAATGCCTGCGTGTTGTACTAAGTGGAGTGAGGACGTTCCTGTCAGCGTGTTGTAGGTGAGTGGGGTGAGGACGTTCCTGTCAGCGTGTTGTACTAAGTGGAGTGAGGACGTTCCTGTCAGCGTGTTGTACTAAGTGGGGTGAGGACGTTCCTGTCAGTTTTTCCGCTCCTGCTGGTGCTCAGTTGGACACTTTGTTTTACAGCTGCTCTGTGCACTTGTCTCTCCTCCTCCTCCAGCTAATTCCTCGGCCCTGGATCCCGGCCCTGCCTTTTTCCTCGTTGATTATTTTCCCCTGTGACTCAGATTAGCTTGCCGATATTTTGAGGACATCTTTAAAGAAAGATTTCAGGCATCTTTAAAGAAACAAAGATGAGGCCGGCGCTGCAGCTCACTAGGCTAATCCTCCACCTTGCGGCGCAGGCACCCCGGGTTCTAGTCCAGGTCAGGGCACCGGATTCTGTCCCGGTTGCCCCTCTTCCAGGCCAGCTCTCTGCTGTGGCCAGGGAGTGCAGTGGAGGATGGCCCAAGTGCTTGGGCCCTGCACCCCGTGGGAGACCAGGAGAAGCACCTGGCTCCTGGCTCCTGCCTTTGGATCAGCGCGGTGCGCCGGCCGCGGCGGCCATTGGAGGGTGAACCAACGGCAAAAGGAAGACCTTTCTCTCTGTCTCTCTCTCTCACTGTCCACTCTGCCTGTCAAAAAATTAAAAAAAAAAAAATTAAAAAAGAAACAAAGACGAATCTGACCCAAAGCCCCTTCTACCTTAAGCTTGCTCTTTTTCCCTAGCGGGACCTCTCGACGCCTGGACTCGCGGTCACCCTTGCTGCTCGCTCCTCGGCTGCCCCACCCCAGGCTGTCCGGGTGGGTCCCGGGGGCCCCGCGGTCGCTGGGGGAGAGGAGCCCTGGTGCGGTCTGCGCCTGTCGAGGTGCGGTGCTCCCTGGGCTCCTGCATCACGGCTCCCCTCCTCTGCCAGCACTGCTCCCCAGGATTCTGTCACAGGCCCCCTGCATTCTCGCTCTGCGTGTTCTGGGTGATTGTCTCGTCCCTGATGTACCTGCAGATGCTCACAGCTGCACTCTGGACCTGCTGTCTGCTCTGCAAGTGTGTGGCCCCCAGACAGCGCCAGCGTAGCACATGCAGACCGAAGCTTGCAGGCCCCACTCAGCTTCTTCAGTCCCGTGTTTCTGTAGTGACCCCGTGACTTACCTGGTCGCTGGGCTGCAGCCTGAGCACCATCTTCGGTTCCCTCTCTTTCCCCCTTTAGTCCATTCTCCTCTCACTTACCTGGCCTCATTCCTCCCTTTGTCTTGTGCCTGGTGACGCTTACGTAGCCATTGCTTTGGTATAGATTTTGATGGGTGCAGGAGCCTTCTCGTGGGCCTTTCTGGTCAGGCCTTGTGTTCACAGATCCTGCACGCTGTGGTGACCTTGATGAAGCCTAGAGCTGGTTATTTCGTTCCTGCACGGTCTTTCAGGCCTTCTCTTCCGCAATAGGAAGTCCAGTGCCAGAACCTGATGTACCAGTCCCCGAATGCCTGGCGTCGGGATCTGCTCCATGCCGTCAGCACCCTTCACTCCGCTGTGGTCTCTGAAAGCAGCGCCTTGTCCCTGTCCCCCTCGTTCTCGGGAGTGCCCTTTCTTCTCCAGTGCTTGTCTCTTCCTGGGTGCTTCCTGCACTCTGGAAGCAGAGCAGTTGGCAGCTGGTACTCTGCAGGTCAGCGCGGTGCCGTGTTCTTGGATCCCGCTGTGGTGTGTGTCCAGTTGCCGTCACTGTTTAACTTTTGTCTCCTGCTGCTAGACTCTGGGTCCCAGGAGGGCCTGGTCTCCGGAGTCCTCAGCCCAAGGGTGAGGCCCACAGAGTTCATTCAGGGGTTCCATGCTTGTGAGGGTTTTTTAATTTAATTTAAAAAATTTTTTTTTTTGTTATAAGAGAAGAGGAATGTGAACCTTCTGAAAATTAGAAATCAGCAGTTTAAACATTTAATATTGTTTATGATTTTAAAAAATGATTAATGTTAAACTCTTTCTTATTAAATAAAGGTGGAAGAGGTCAAATAAAACAGAAGAAAAAGACAGTACCACAAAAGGTTACAATAGCCAAAATTCCCAGAGCAAAGAAGAAATATGTGACAAGAGTATGTGGTCTTGCAACTTTTGGTGAGTTCAGACTTAAGAATGTTTAAAATGTGTGAACTGTTGTTTCTCTCTCTCTCTCTCTCTCTGGCATTGTGAACACATCTCAGGTCTTTTTTGCTAAGAAGATACAAAATGAGATTTTGCATTTTAATGATAGTTTCAAAATCAGATTTTGGAGAAATGTAAAAATCTTTTGTAGGGGGGACAGATAACTTTCCCGTTTCTGAATTCCTGCTTGGGCACCTTGTTTGTGGATGAGGAGGGCTGGTGGGGTTCCCTGTGCCATCTCCCGGTGCTGTCCCTGTCCTCCGTGGGCCTGGTGGCAGAGGGCTGCAGGGTGGCTCTGGCAGTAGAAGGTGAGGGAAGCTGGAGGCAGCGTCTGAGCCCCTCAGCGCCTGGAGGCCTTGACCGAGTAGTGAGATGGGGGTGAGAGTGACAGCACGGGCTGAAGAGCAGTTCCTGGACCGCATTCATCGTGTGAAGGTCTAGTTCTCTGCTGTGTTTCTGTTTTGAAAGAATTTAGACCAAAGAACTTCATTCCTACTTGGCAGTGTGTAGGTAGTGCTAGGAATCAGTGTGTTCCTGGGTTTATTGTGGTCTTACTCTATGAGTCAGGAATAGTATACAGTATACTGTTTTCATGTACTGAGTTTTTATTTTAATTTGAGTTGCTAAGACCTGCTTCTGGAATTTGTAATTACTATTCTGGAAGGCATGTAAAACCCATTAACACCATCTGTTATGAATTTAAAATACTGATTTAATTTCAGAAGGACGCAATATCTTTGCATAATTCCAATTATAGTCTTGCTCTTTCTTTTAAAAAAAAAAAAAAACACACAGAAATTGACCTTAAGGAAGCACAAAGATTTTTTGCGCAGAAATTCTCCTGTGGTGCCTCAGTAACAGGGGAGGACGAGATCATCATTCAGGGAGACTTCACAGATGACATCATTGACGTCATTCAGGAAAAGTGGCCGGAGGTGAGTGTGTGGGACATGCGCGCCTGTGGAATTAAGTGTTTATAGCAGCTTGCTTCCATTGTTCCTGCTGGACACCACAGTCACAAAACCTAATAATTTGTGTTTTATAGGTGGATGATGACAGTATCGAAGATCTTGGAGAAGTGAAGAAGTGATTCTGAAACTTGTCTGTATTTAATGATCTGAACTGAGAATTGATCTGGCCAAAGGGAGAGAGGCCTTTTAATTTTAAAATCTATATATTTATCCTGCAGTGAGACTGTTGGCGACCTTCGTTCTCGGCATCTTCACTGTTCTGTACAAGGCTGCTTGTTTTTTTATTGCCAAAGTCTAATGAACAAGGGAGACCGTCATGCTCATGCATGGAATAGAATTAGTCACAATAAAACATTTTGGTCATTTGGTACTGACTTTTTCTCTTTAGCTTTTCATTTTTGGAGAAACACTGTAGACTTTGTGGGAAGCATCTCTGTTGATTATTTTACTTCACAGTAACATGTCTCCTGGCTTCCGTGGTGCGAGTTCTGAGGTGGCTGAGCCCTGTAGACTTGTGGTTGATTTGCCTTCATTTTGCCATGGCAGTCTGCTTGGCAGACATGACAGCATCCTCCTGGCAGGGACAGTTCACGCCGATCTGGAGATACCGTAAACCCTTTAAAGCCTTAGAGCAAGTGTGCTGACCCCTGCGCTGTGCTGAAGTAGTGATCGTCTTGCCTAAAGCTTAAGGGTCAGAGGGTTCGTCACAGAGTTACTCATAATGCCAGAAAACTGCAGGTGATAGCAAAGGAACAGTTGGGACATGGTTATGTAGTGGAATATTGCGTACATGTTTAAGAATCGTATTCTCCAGGAACACTGGATGTTTGATCATCTTGAGTGGGGACAGACCCCAAGTCCATGTTTGATCTTCCTTGTCGTCGTCCTGAGCGGAAGGCCACGCAGGAAGGCTGGAGTCCCTGCTCTCACTGCGTTGTGTGAGGAAGGTCCTCCTATTCACAGGAGCATGTGCCCGCCTCAGCGTGTAGTCTGAGAAACAGCCAGCGACGTGTCCTCTCGCAAGAGAAACCTGGGAAATTTTAAAAATGAATGCATTGGACGAATTTGAACTTAAAGTCAGGTGCTGCAGATTGGAGACTTGTGGTATTTTTAATTGCTGTAAACACCTTTAAGAAACTTAGAACCCATGAGCCCATTGTTATTACCATGCAAATAAAAATTTTGAATGGATTTTTTTAATAGTCTTAGAAAAAGATATGTAATAAAGATGTAAGTTGTAAAATGAAAATCTGTGATAACTGAATTTTACCAAATACGAGTACTTAGTGAAGCAGACCTGTCCCGGATCTGGGAGATGTCCCTGTGCGGTGTGAAGATTCCTGTCTTCACAGTTCTGGCAGAGGTAGTTTCAGTCCATAGGTAGCCAGCAGTGGCTGTTACTACAGGAAGAAGCAGGATTTAAAACTGTCCTTGTGTGTTAACTTGTGAATGTTTTTCTTCGACTTGATACTTGAAATGCGACAGGGGGTTCCAGTGCTGTGGCACAGCAGGTAAAGCCGCCACCTGCAGCGCCAGCATCCCATATGGGCTCCAGTTTGAGTCCCGGCTGCTCCATTTCTGATCCAGCCCTCTGCTGTGGCCAGGGAAAGCAGTGGAGGGTGGCCCAAGTCCTTGGGCCCTGCACCCGCGTGGGAGACCTGCAAGAAGCTCCTGGTTCATGGCTTGGCGTTGTGGCCATTTGGAGAGTGAACCAGTGATGGAAGACCTCTTGCTCGCTGTCTCTCTCTGTCTCTCTGTGTGTGTAACTAACTCTGCCTTTCAAATAAATCTTTTGAAAGTAAATAAGTGTGACACGGGGGAGGAATTCAGCCCGCTGGCTGAGCCACCAGCATCCCTCAGTGGAGTGCCTGTAGTCGATTCCAGTTTCCCAGCAGTGCAGACCCCGGTGGGGGGCGGTGTTAATGGCTCAAGTATTTGGGTTCCTGCCACTCTTGTGGGAGACCTGGATTGCATTCCTGGTTCCTGGCTCCCAGCCCCTGCCCCAGCTCAGCTGGGAAGTAAACCCCAATGGGAGTCCTGCCAGCTTCCCCCCCCCCCACACACACACTTTGTCTTTCAGAATAAGTAAAGTGCAACACAGTTTAACCTCTGATTGGTGTACTCACGGGGAAGGCAGTTAGCCTCACGGAGAGGATGCTGGCTATGGTGCCTGGGCCACGGACTGGAGTGCATGGATTCCCTGCCTACCTCTGGCTCCACTGCAGCTTCCTGCTAACGCACACCCAGGGAGGCAACAGCCAAGGTTTAAAACGTAGTGATAGTCCAAGGATTGACTGGTTCACACATTTGTACACTTTAGTATTTTTAGCATAAAAGGATACAGACTTTCAAGCAGCCTTATGTAAGAAATGTGCCATGATTAAGCTGGCCAACTTCAAATGCAAATATGGTTTTGTTAGGTGGTCTTTTGCTAAAGATAGATGCAGGGTGGGTGTTTGGCATAGCAGCTGGGATACCTGCATCACAGGTGGGAGCGCCTGGGTTCAAGTTCTGCCTCCATTCTCCACTCCAGCTTCCTGCTAATGCCGCCCTGGGGGCGCGGGGTGGGTGGGGGTGACAGGTGACATCTCAAGTACTTGAGTCTCACCTGTGTCGGGGACCTGGATTGAATCCCAGGCTCCTGACATTGGCCTATCCTAGACTTGGCTGTTCTGGGTGTTGGGAGAGTGAATCAGTACATGAGAACTTCGTCTAATTTTTTAAAAATTAGATGCCAAAAAAGATAACCAACAACAAAAATACAAGTGATTTCAAAGTATCTTCTTGTTACTACTTAAATTTAAAGATGGCCCTGAGGTGGGTGCTGCTTGGGACTCAGCAGAGCGCCTGCACTCAAGGCCGCCTCCACTTCCCATCCAGCTTCCTGCTAATGCGCGCCTGCGAGTGGTGAGGCAGAGGTGAGGGCTCAGGTACATGGGTCCCAGCCACCTTGCGACTCCTGGGAGGAGTTCCAGGCTCCTGGCTTCAGTTCCTGCCCCAACTGTGGTGGGCATTCGGGGATGGAAGGGAGATCTGTTGCTCTGCTTTTCCAAAAATATTGTTAAACATTAATGCTTCCCTTTTAGTTCCTTTAGTTTCAGAATCAGGAAGACATTCTGGAATGAGTCCGTTCAGGACTTCAGTCTGGGTTTGTGTGTAAATGAAAAGCTAGATACGGTATAATTCTTTTGTTTCTAAGTTTACTGTCTTTATTTGAAAGGGTGATAGGGATCTTCAGTTTACTGGTTCGCTCCCCAGATGTGCACAACAGCTGGGGCTGACCAGGCCAAAGCCAGAAGCAAGGCGTTCTCTCCAGCTCCCCCATGTGGGAGGCAGGGCCTGCAGTACCTGAGCCATCCCCTGCCTCCAGGTGCATTAACAGGGAACTGAGTCGGAAGTGGAGGTGAGACGTGACCCGTGGCACTTGGATGAGGGAGCAGGCGGCCCGAGCTGCAGTTGAACCTGCACTCTCAGAGTAATTCTTAAGGGGCTCATATTTATGTCAGTTTTTTAAACTTACACCTCTCCTTACATATTTGTGTAGAAAGAAAGCCTGTTGGGTGGCTGGTACTCTGGCCTAGTGGGCTAAACCTCCGCCTGTGGTGCCGGCGTGAACCCTGGCTGCTCCACTTCCAATCCAGCTCCCTGCTAATGCACCTGGGAAAGCAGCAGCCGATGGCCCAGGTGCGTGGGCCCCTGCACCCACATGGGAGACCTGGAAGAAATTCCTGGCTCCTGGCTTCAGATGGGCCCAGCCCTGGCTGTTTGCACCATGTGGGGAGTGAACCAGTGGATGGGAGATCTGACTCTTCCTCTCTAACTCTGCCTCTCTCTTTTTTTTTTTTTTTTGACAGGCAGAGTGGACAGTGAGAGAGAGAGACAGAGAGAAAGGTCTTCCTTTTGCCGTTGGTTCACCCTCCAATGGCCGCCGCGGCCGGCGCACCGCGCTGATCCGATGGCAGGAGCCAGGAGCCAGGTGCTTTTCCTGGTCTCCCATGGGGTGCAGGGCCCAAGCACCTGGGCCATCCTCCACTGCACTCCCTGGCCACAGCAGAGGGCTGGCCTGGAAGAGGGGCAACCGGGACAGAATCCGGCGCCCCGACCGGGACTAGAACCCGGTGTGCCGGCGCCGCAAGGCGGAGGATTAGCCTAGTGAGCCGCGGCGCCGGCCTCTAACTCTGCCTCTCAATAAAATCTTACACCCTCCTCCCCCAGCACCCAGACTCCACTTCTGGTCCAGCTACCCATAGGCTGTTTGTAACCACCAGCCTCAATTGGCTTTTTATTTTTTAATAGTGCACCTTAATAATTACAAAGGTTGTGATTCGGAAAACAGGTCATTTCGGATTGAAAGTCTTAGGAGCTCACTTACCCTAAAAAAAAAACAATAGAAAAAAAAAAGTT